AGAGGGGATGGTCACGCTGCAATCCCTTCTCCTCCATTCTCCTCTCGGGATCTTGGGCACGCACGCACACGCGCCCGGCGTGAGTTTTAAGCCACCGGGTCCAGGACGTGAACCGCGGTCGACTACATGGGAGTCCAGTGACATAGCCATTACGCTAACTGCTGGTCCCCCAACTGCATCCATTTTGATGAAGAAACTTGGTTCTTTGTTCTGTGACTTTTCCCAAACTGGGATTTTCTGATTGTGTGTTAAAGTGAGTCTGATAGATCTTGATCTGATGGGTTTTTTAAAATTTAATTTTATTTACTCATTCATTCATTTTAATTTGACCAGAGAGAGACACAGAGAGAAAGAGACGGAGGGAAATTCAGAAAGCAAGCCACCAGGTTGGGACTTGAACCGTGGTCGACCATGTGGGAGTGTCAAGTGCCTTAACCACCACGCCACCTGCTGGTCCCTGATCTGATGGATTTTAAAGTAACTGCTTTTAGGCTTTCATTGTGGACAGAGCTAAGAAATAGATTTCATTATTTTTAAGAGAAAATATATTGAGTTTACACTGATTTCTCACTTCAAATTTAGTATTACTACATGTTCTTTATACTCTTTTAAAAATTACTTTATTTTCTTAATTTGCTACAAGGTGCGTGCATTTGCTGGAGAGAGAGTGGGGTGAGTAAACACTCTCTCAGGGGGCACAGCCACTCTGCAACCTCTTCCCCAAGCTCCTCTCGGGATTTTTGGCATACATACACACACATCAGGCTGCCTGGTCTGGGACTTGAACCACACAGTCAGTCCTGTGGGGTCCGACTGCCTTACGCACCACACCACAAGCTGGCCCTATTTCTCTTTTTATGTCATATTCATAAGAAAAAAAATCTTTCAATCTAATTTTTACACTGAAAATTTTGGTTTCTATTAACATCAACATAATTTTTTATTTGCTTCATTCTATCATATGTATGTGTGTGTACGTAGAGCTTCAGAATAACAACACTAATATTATATTGTTATTAACAATATAGTAACTGAAATGTTTAAGATTTAGCTATGATTCTTTTTGTCCTTAGGATGTATCCTACTAAGAATATACAGTAAAATCACGGTGTTTTATTTTTTTTTGCCTCATGGCATGTGGGATCACCAGAGAGAGACAAAGGGAAAGTAAGAAATTACCCTTAGCAGGGATGGCCACACTGCAATCCCTCTTCCAGTCTTCTCTCTAGATCTAAGGCATACATGCACATACACCTGGAATGATTTTCAAGCCACCAGACCCAGGACTTGAACCATGGGCTGCTATGTGGGAATCCAGCTCCTTAGCCACCACACCACTTGCTAGTCCCAGTCAAATCACATTTAAAGTCACTTAAAGAGGGACCAGCAGTTAGCGCAATGGCTATGTCATTGGACTCCCATGTGGTCTACTGTGGGTCAAGACCCAGACCTGGCAGCTTAAATTCAAGCCGGGCACGTGTGCGTGCATGCCCAAGATCCTGAGAGGAGAATGGAGGAGAAGGGATTGCAGCGTGGCCATCCCCCCTGGAGGGTGATTTCTCACTTTCTATCTGTCTCTGTTTTTCTGGCGAGCACACGTGCCCTATAGCAAAATTCTCTACCAAGAAAATAATAAATAAATAAATAAAATCACTTCAAGGGTCAGCAGATGATGTAGCAGTTACATTACTAGACTCTCACATTGTTAACTATGGTTCAAGTTCCAGACCAGGTAGCTTAAAACTCATGCTGGGTACATGTGTGTTTATGCCCAAGATCCTGGGAGGAGAATGGCTATCCCCTCTGGGGAGTGGTTTCTTTCTCTCTCACTGTCTCTGTCTCTCTGCTCGCACTGTCTCTCTCTGGCAAGAGCACATGCCCTAAGGCAAAAACCTCTACCCCCCCCCAAAAAAAATTCACTAAAAATACCTCAGATTTGGAGCCAGCTGGATTCCTCATGGTCTACTGGACTAGGCAGCTTCAAAAACATACCAGGTGAATGAGCGTGCATGCGCAGAATGCGGAGAAGAGAATGAAGGAGAATGAAGTTGGGATCGTGAACAAAGAAGGGATGAAGAAGGGATGGGGGCATGGCTGTCGCCTTGGGAGGTGCTTTCTTTCTCTACAGCGAGGGCATGTGCTTTACAGCAAATTAAAAACAAACAAAACCCCTCAGCTCTGGCGCATAAGCTATCAACTATAGACACAGGTTCATTTAATTCCATTTTAGTTTTGTTTTATCACGATGTACAATATTTACATGGCATCGTAGTCGAATGAACAAAACACGGTGCATTCAGAAGAAACTGATCTCCGACCCTTTCGCTTAGCCTTCCAACTCCCTAAAAAAGCAATACTTTATTAGGTTTTGGCTTATCTTCCACTTAACAACAACCAAAATACCAGCAACCAAATATGTACATTTATATCCCCCTTTTTTTAGATAAAACATAGTATATTGTGTGTACTATTCTCCAACTTGCTTTTTTATTTAATATATCTTAAAGGTCCTCCTATAATAATATGTAGATACTTAGGTCATTAATACATAAGTGGTCTTCATTTGCAAATGGAGAGGTGTGGAGCAGGACCGGCTGAGGCAGAGGTATAGACACCAGCATCCCAGATACCAGGAAAGAATGAGGTCCTGATGGGCCAAGGCCACATTCAGGGTGGTGCATTCAGGGTTAAGGGAGCAGAGGTGTCAAGCGACACATCAGGCCTGGATCAGGAAGTCAGTGGGTCCTGTGAATGGAAATAACTAAGGCTCTGCAGAAAAGAATCGGAAGGGTGACTAGGCTTGGGGTGCTCAGGTGCACTGTTGCTTTTTCTGTAGTTCTGAGTTCTGAAAGCCAGGGACACAAAGTTGCAAATCAACATAAGGAGGTGTTCCCTGGCTTGGCCCAGAAGAAGGGGTTGCTGGTAGGTTATAGATGGCTTTAGCAATTCAACCGTTAGTAAACGATCAAAAACACAAATCTTTGTTTTAGAAAGACAGGGTCAGCAAAGAAAGCCTGTGTGTTACTTAAACAGAGATAAGAAGGCTTCAGTGAGGATCATAAAATACTCTGCCAGGCATAGGAGGTAGGGAGCATCCCCCAATCAGTGGCCAAGGCAGCTGCTACAGCCAAGTTAAAAATGCCCCCAGACGTGACTTAGAAAATAGGCCCTTTAGAAAATATCTTAGGGGACCAGCAGTTGGCATAATGGCTATGTCGCTGGACTCCCATGTAGTTGACCGCGGTTCGAGTCCTGGACCCGGTGGCTTAAACTGCCCAAGATCCTGAGAGGAAAATGGAGAAGGGATTGCGGTGTGGCCATCTCCCCTGGGGGGTGATTTCTTGGTTTCTGTCTCTCTGACTCTTTCTGTCTGGCGAGCGCACATGCCCTATAGCAAAAACCTCTCAAAAAAAGAAAAAAGAAAGAAAATATCTTAGAATAGGAAAAGCAGCAAGAATTCCGTTCTCAGGGGTAACCTTCCAAAAGGGCTCCAAGGAGTCAGGTTCAACCCTCCCTCCTGCAGCACATCCCAAAATAAAGGGGGAGCAGGAGAAGACGGAGAGGAAGGCAAAGGAACAGCTCTAGGGATTTAGGGTGACTTGGGTGCCCGTACTCAGGAGCCGGAAAAAGGGGAAGACCTGCCCTGGGAAGAAGGCCTGAAAGGTGTAGATGTGGTTCCTCGTGGTGGCATCGTAGAAGACCACCTCCCCGCTCTCGTAATCCACGCACACGCCCACTTTCCTCGGTCGGACCGGGAGTTTCTCCCGGGAACCGTCCCGGACGATCGCGTGGCAGTCGTCGCCCGAGAGGCGCAGCACCCAGAAGCCGGCCGCGGGCGCCAACAGCAGGTAGCCCTGCCGAGGCACCGGGTCCGAAGCCACGCCCACCAGGCAGGCCCCGCCCCCGGGCCCATGGAGCTCCACCTCCCAGGCCTGGCGGCCGGAGCCGGGGCGGGCGGAGCCCAGCACGCAGTGGAACGGGTAGAAGCGTTCCGGGTCGGAGGGCTCCTTGGAACCGCCCTCGGTGGGCAGGTCTAGCGTCACTGTCTTTAGATCTGTGGAAATGATGAGGTCTGGGTGGGCCGAGGCCACGTCCAGAGTCACAGGGGCTGTGGGAAAAGGAGGAGGAGAGGGGCAGCCCCCGGGTCGAATCGTCAGATCTCCGCCTCTACCTTTGAGCTTCCCAGCGTTGCAGCCAGGGGGAGGTTCTCTTCCCAGTCACAGCCCGTGTGGGCCCCCAAGAAGTCCTAGGTCCCGCCCCTCCTTGTTAATCCGAGTGGCACCACCTGCTGTTCTGTGAGGGGAGCTTCCACTGGCGAGGTGGTGGTGGCCAGATCATTTCCACACCCAAAGGTGAGACCGAGTCTTCCATCCCTGTTTCCCGTGGTCCCTGATTGTCATATCTAAAACAATAGTTGGGGCTAGGATAAGAGATTTCAAGGCTCTGACTCTGAGCTTAAGTACTTCTCCAAAGTAGAGTCCCTCAAACTCATGGATGAGTTGGGGCGGGGTCGAATAGCCAGCCCCTGGCCTCGCGCACGCACACTTCCAGAATTCAGGGTCACGGGACCAGCAGCTAGCGTAATGGCTAAGTCGCTGGACTCTCACGTAGTCAACCAAGGTTCGCGTCCCGGACCCGGTGGCTTAAAACTCACGCTGGGCACGTGTGCGTGCGTGCCCGCCCAAGATCCCGGGAAGAGAATGGAGGAGAAGGGATTGCGGTGTGACCATCCCCCCTGGGGGGTGATTTCTCGCTTTCTGTCTCTCTGTCTGGCGAGCGCACGCGCCCTATAGCAAAAACCTCTCCGAAACCAAAACCAAAACAAAACAAAAAAGTAAAAAAAATAAAAAATAAAAAAAAGAATTCAGGGTCATAGCACGTCAAAGTGGACAGGTCCCCACCCGTCCTCCGCAAAGGTTTCCGGAGTGGTGGTTCCAGTCTCTGCCACAAGCTTAGGGATGAGGACCTCGTTCTATCTAATCGCAAATCCTGCCCTGAACTTTAATTATAGTTCTCCCTTCCTGGGGGAGAGGATGCGGTAATGCGGCAGGAGCAGGGTGGTCAGGTTCATGCGGACAGGGGAAGAGGATTGCGGCCCAGGCGGCCATGTCTCTGGACCTCAGGTCTGGCTGAGCTGCTGCTGTCGTAAGTAGTTGTTTGAAAAGAGAAAAAAGAGAGAGAGGGAGAGAGAGAGAGAAGGAAAGAAAAAGAAAAGGAAAGGAAGAAGAAAGAATGAAAGAGAAAGGGAAAAGGAGTAAGAAAAGAAGGAAAGAAAGAACGAAAGAAAAAGAGAAGAAAGAGAGGGAGAGAAAGAAGGAAAGGAAGAAATCACAAGAAAGGAAGGGAAGAGGCTGGGGACCGGGAGAGACGGCTGGAGGGACTTCTACCCGCTCCGGGGCAGCACAGCCAAAGCGATCTGGAGACGCCCAGCGTGGGTCCGGGACGCCGGGATCCCGGGCTGTCTTCCCTCCCTCTGCTGGAGAACTCGCCCGCCCGTCGGAGCGCGCCCCTTCCTCAGGTCTGCGCCCCACCCCGCCCCGCGGCAGGCCCTCCTC